TGTCGGAATTTCCACCCGCCGGGAATCGAACCCGGGCCCTCCGTGTGTGAAGCGGGAGCTTTAGCCACCAGACCACCGGGCCACCTATATCTGGTGGTGGTGATTTAACCTGCCATAGATACTTGTAACCCAGCCGGAGCCGGGCAGTAGTGACATCCAAGAGTCTGCTTATCTTGTTGGATGCACCATAGACATGTGGCTCCTCCTGCATGATGGAATGATGATAGACGGACTGACTTGTGTCAATCTCCCTAAGTCTTAAGTCAATAAAGTTCATTTGGAGTTCTTTTCGTATTATTGTTCTCAAACTGCTAACTGACAACCGAAGATTGTAATCTACTCCCTCTTGGAGAGCATACAGCTTAGCCAATTTATCAGTTCTATCATGCATCTGAAGACCAATGTGAGATGGAATCCACGGCATGTGCACTCTGACTCCACACATACACAAATAACCCGCACATAAAAGACAGAAGCTTACGACGACGTTTCGGTCCGACTTGGACCATTGACAAAGTCACACTGTTCCATGGAATGAAACAATATTGTTTCATTCCATGGAACAATGCTCTTCTCCAGACTGAGGGCCCCTCAAGGAAGGCTCCTTGATGTTGGTGAGGGGCTCTTGATTTAGGGAATTGGATCTGTGCTCCAGTTCCCCAAATTAAGCCTGAATGCCTTCCACATCCCCCCCCCAGGCGCTGTATAATCCTCCGGGTTTAGCGCTTCCCCCTTGATTATAATAATAATAATAATCCAGACTGAGGGACTGACCACCTCAAAACTTTAAGGGTGATGGACTGATTACATCGTCTTCAAGTATCTTCTGCTTCTATCAACTTTTCTGTACTCGACTGAAGAAGCCTACTGTGTAGGCGAAACGTTTCGAAATAAAGATACCTTACTGTTGCATATGTGTCTTACCTAACAACCATATTTGTTGTCATCCTATCTCTCTTTTTCCTCCTATCAACCAAAGTAGGCATCTTGACCCTGCTGGGTCACCGCATACAGAAGACCCGGGATTGATGGACCGAATATGTAGACTCCAGGTTGAGGGACTGATTGCCTCAAATTCCTCCTCATCTTTCACCTTTTTCTGCATTGGACTGAAGAAGCCACTGGCTGGCGAAACGTTTCTACAATAAATGTATCCAAATGTTGCAAAAATGTCTTTTTTTTTTCAAACAAATCCATGCAGACTTCTAGCAAGTCATTAACCTAAATCAAAAGCAGTATAGGGGCAAGTTTGGATCCTCAGATACCATAGGACACATACCCTGAGGGGTTTGTTTCTCTCAGCGTTTGGTTTAGAAAGACACGTAAGCAAACACTGTCCAACCTCTCAGCGTATATATGCTGTGAGTTTACTGTGATCCCTGTGTTAAGTCTCCACGGTAATATCTGCATTACAGACAAGGATTCTCTAATCTTTAATGACCCTCGTGTAGTCGATGGGCTTTAACGTGCTAGTGACACCCCTGCTTTTCATTGGGGGGATGTTGCATCGTCTGCCAAGTCTTTTGCTTTCGTAGTGAGTGATTTTCGTGTGCAAGTTCGGTACTAGTCCCTCTAGGATTTTCCAGGTGTATATAATCATGTATCTCTCCCTCCTGCGTTCCAGGGAATACAGGTTTAGGAACCTCAAGCGCTCCCAGTAATTGAGGTGTTTTATCTCCGTTATGCGCGCCGTGAAAGTTCTCTGTACATTCTCTAGGTCGGCAATTTCACCTGCCTTGAAAGGTGCTGTTAGTGTGCAGCAATACTCCAGCCTAGATAGAACAAGTGACCTGAAGAGTGTCATCATGGGCTTGGCCTCCCTAGTTTTGAAGGTTCTCATTATCCATCCTGTCATTTTTCTAGCAGATGCGATTGATACAATGTTATGTGGTCCTTGAAGGTGAGATCCTCCGACATGATCACTCCCAGGTCTTTGACGTTGGTGTTTCGCTCTATTTTGTGGTCAGAATTTGTTTTGTACTCTGATGAAGATTTAATTTCCTCATGTTTACCATATCTGAGTAATTGAAATTTCTCATCGTTGAACTTCATATTGTTTTCTGCAGCCCACTGAAAGATTTGGTTGATGTCCGCCTGGATCCTTGCAGTGTCTGCAATGGAAGACACTGTCGTGCAGATTCGGGTGTCATCTGCAAAGGAAGACACGGTGCTGTGGCTGACATCCTTGTCTATGTCGGATATGAGGATGAGGAACAAGATGGGAGCGAGTACTGTGCCTTGTGGAACAGAGCTTTTCACCGTAGCTGCCTCGGACTTTACTCTGTTGACGACTACTCTCTGTGTTCTGTTAGTGAGAAAATTATAGATCCATCGACCGACTTTTCCTGTTATTCCTTTAGCACGCATTTTGTGCGCTATTACGCCATGGTCACACTTGTCGAAGGCTTTTGCAAAGTCTGTATATATTACATCTGCATTCTTTTTGTCTTCTAGTGCATTTAGGACCTTGTCGTAGTGATCCAATAGTTGAGACAGACAGGAGCGACCTGTTCTAAACCCATGTTGCCCTGGGTTGTGTAACTGATGGGTTTCTAGATGGGTGGTGATCTTGCTTCTTAGGACCCTTTCAAAGATTTTTATGATATGGGATGTTAGTGCTATTGGTCTGTAGTTCTTTGCTGTTGCTTTACTGCCCCCTTTGTGGAGTGGGGCTATGTCTGTTGTTTTTAGTAACTGTGGGACGACCCCCGTGTCTATGCTCCCTCTCCATAGGATGGAAAAGGCTCGTGATAGGGGCTTCTTGCAGTTTTTGATGAACACGGAGTTCCATGAGTCTGGCCCTGGAGCAGAGTGCATGGGCATGTCATTTATCGCCTGTTCGAAGTCATTTGGAGTCAGGATAACATCGGATAGGCTTGTGTTAATCAAATTTTGTGGCTCTCTCATAAAAAATTCATTTTGATCTTCGACTCTCATAAATATATTAAAGCAAACTACATATCAAAGCGGTATTTGTTTCTTGTATTGCGGGTTGTGTAGCAGGTTGCATGCACTACTAAAATTTTCTACTTTTATATATATATATATATATATATATATATATATATATATATATATATATATATGTCGTGCCGAATAGGCAGAACTTGCTATCTTGGCTTAAATAGCAACGTTCATCTTGCCATATAGAACAAGTGAAAATTTGTGTATGCAATAATTTCGCCAAAATCATTCTGAACCTAACGAAAAAAATATATTTCACTGTGTTTGTTTAGTATTAAATTATTGTAAACAAATCTAAAATATATTTAGTTGCGTTAGGCTAAAATAAATTGCTCTTGTTATAATAAGGTTAGGTAAGTTTTCTAAGATTCTTTTGGTGCAAAATTATAAATTTTTACATCAACATTAATGAAAAAAATATATCTTTAAACGTATAAGAGAAAATTTTAGAAAGGACTTAATTTTAAATGAGTTCTTGCTAATTGACCAGTTTTACATATTCGGCACGACATATATATATATATATATATATATATATATATATATATATATATATATATATGTCGTGCCGAATAGGCAGAACTTGCGATTTTGGCTTAAATAGCAACGCTCATCTTGCCATATAGGACAAGTGAAAATTTGTGTATGCAATAATTTCGCCAAAATCATTCTGAACCTAACGAACAAAATATATTTGATTGTGTTTGTTTAGTACTAAATTATTGTAAACGTATTTAAAATATAATTTGTTGGGTTTGGCTAAAATAAATTGCTCTTGTTATAATAAGGTTAGGTAAGTTTTCTAACATTCTTTTAGTGCAAAATTAAAAATTTTTTACATTAACATTAATGAAAAAAATATATCTTTAAACGTATAAGAGAAAATTTCAGAAAGGACTTAATTTTAAATGAGTTCTTGCTAATTGACCAGTTTTACATATTCGGCACGACATATATATATATATATATATATATATACTATATATATATATATATATATATATATATATATATATATATATATATATATATATATATATATATATATATATACACATGTATATATATTTACCTGGAGTTTACCTGGAGAGAGTTTCGGGGGTCAACGCCCCCGCGGCCCGGTCTGTGACCAGGCCTCCTGGTGGATCAGCCCCTGATCAACCAGGCTGTTGCTGCTGGCTGCACGCAAACCAACGTACGAGCCACAGCCCGGCTGATCAGGAACTGACTTTATGTGATTGTCCAGTGCCAGTATATTGCAAATGTTTCGCTGTTTTTCCTTTTATTTCCATTTATTTTAACCTGGTTGCTAAATATCCGTGCTTGTTTCTTTGACAGGTTAATAGATTTTGCACCAAAGTGGCTAGTTTATTGTGTACCTCACATCCATCCTGTGGACGGTAGCACAAGAGCATATGGATACACAAATGGCCTAGGAACTAGTAAGGGTTAACAGGTGTACATGTGGATTTATATCTACGTATCTATAGTTCAGTTATCTGTTACAAGCAAATTTAGTAAATTCATATTGTTATTATATTGTCTATCTCTGTATTCCTCAATAAGTGGACAATTAAGCACATAGTGTTCAAGACAGTAACCATATGCCTGATCACATAATTTACATTTAATAGCCCGGATTCTATTTTTTTTTTTTGTATCTCTTAGAAGTATTTATAAATTCTTTTATTCTTACCCTGTCCTTTTTCGAAAGATCTTGTCAAATTGCGTATGTTTCAAGACTTGCTTACTGCCAAATATACTACATTTTTTTTTTTTGCATATACTATTCTGAGTATTATGCGCAACGAAGTGAATCATGAACCTCCAATGGAAATAAGTCAGTTTGTCTGAGATTTTGGGTTATCCTAGGTAATTTATACTATATATGACAATTGTACTTATGTGTACCAGTACCTGTACCTGAATAAACTTACTAAGCAAGTTCTACTACGTTTTAGTTTAGTGTAGTTAAACACGTTGATGTATTTAGGAGAGTCGCTGGCAGAAGTGTTGGTTATAAGGTCAGTCGCTGGCAGCGTTCACTGCAGCTACCAGGACTGTGTCAGCTGCTGGACACCAACACTCGCAAGGAATACTTCCTCATTACTTTATTTGAAGTCCCACGGGCAACATATGTCGAGATATAGGATATTTTCCCCTACCAGGGCGACAGGTGAGAAGAGTTTTAGTGTGAAGTTACGGAGCCTATGGTAAATACGGAACAAAAGAGACTGACGACCTTGGTTATCAGGCTGAACAGATTTGTTTACATTTGTGTGGTGGCTAATGTTAGTGTGTAACTCAGACTAATTTCTTCTAGAATCACTGTGGAAAAAAAATATAGCCATCTGGATTATTAAAGAAAGAATTTCATCCAAGTAATATCTAGGAACAATTTCGGGCTCACTTTGGGAAATATAAGGAAGTTACATTAGGAATCCCACTTTTCTTTGTCCTTGAAATTATACATGTAAAAAGACATTTTAAAGTTAGAGAAAATATTATTTTCTATTGTTATTAAAGAATCGGTTTAAGTATGTTTAATTGCTTGACTTGAAAAAATTTCTCATTCTGTTATATGCTACACTAAATGGATTATATTATTATTATATCATTATAGTATTGGAAATATTTGAATATACAATAATGCAATTTTGAACTTTGGGTGCCTTCAGTTTCAGCAAGAATTATAGTTTTCATTGATTCCCATAAATGAGATTCCTTGATGCCAATGACTGGGGGTTCTAGATCCAGGGATATGGACTTGATTTTCCCTTTCCTTGCATCAAACCCAGTTCCTTCCTATTCTCCCGAGTGCTGTATGAAACCTATGGATTTAAGCTCTCCATGACCCTATGGATTTAAGCTCTCCATGAGCCTATGGATTTAAGCTCTCCATGAGCCTATGGATTTAAGCTCTCCACGAGCCTATGGATTTAAGCTCTCCACGAGCCTATGGATTTAAGCTCTCCATGAGCCTATGGATTTAAGCTCTCCATGAGCCTATGGATTTAAGCTCTCCGTGAGCCTATGGATTTAAGCTCTCCGTGAGCCTATGGATTTAAGCTCTCCGTGAGCCTATGGATTTAAGCTCTCCGTGAGCCTATGGATTTAAGCTCTCTGTGAGCCTATGGATTTAAGCTCTCCGTGAGCCTATGGATTTAAGCTCTCCGTGAGCCTATGGATTTAAGCTCTCCGTGAGCCTATGGATTTAAGCTCTCCGTGAGCCTATGGATTTAAGCTCTCCGTGAGCCTGTGGATTTAAGCTCTCCGTGAGCCTGTGGATTTAAGCTCTCCGTGAGCCTGTGGATTTAAGCTCTCCGTGAGCCTGTGGATTTAAGCTCTCCGTGAGCCTGTGGATTTAAGCTCTCCATGAGCCTTAGGATTTAAGCTCTCCTGAGCCTTAGATTTAAGCTCTCCATGAGCCTATGGATTTAAGCTCTCAATGAGCCCATAGATTTAAGCTCTCCGTGAGCCTATGGATTTAAGCTCTCCGTGAGCCTGTGGATTTAAGCTCTCCGTGAGCCTGTGGATTTAAGCTCTCCATGAGCCTGTGATTTAAGCTCTCTGAGCCTGATGGATTTAAGCTCTCCGTGAGCCGTGGATTTAAGCTCTCCGTGAAGCCTGTGGATTTAAGCTCTCCTGACTGTGGATTTAAGCTCTCCGTGACCTGTGGATTTAAGCTCTCCGTGAGCCTGTGGATTTAAGCTCTCCGTGAGCCTGTGGATTTAAGCTCTCCGTGAGCCTGTGGATTTAAGCTCTCCGTGAGCCTGTGGATTTAAGCTCTCCGTGAGCCTGTGGATTTAAGCTCTCCGTGAGCCTGTGGATTTAAGCTCTCCGTGAGCCTATGGATTTAAGCTCTCCGTGAGCCTGTGGATTTAAGCTCTCCATGAGCCTATAGATTTAAGCTCTCCATGAGCCTATAGATTTAAGCTCTCCATGAGCCTATGGATTTAAGCTCTCAATGAGCCCATAGATTTAAGCTCTCCATGAACCTATGGATTTAAGATCTCCATGAACTTATGGATTTAAGATCTCCATGAACTTATGGATTTAAGCTCTCCATGAACCTATGGATTTAAGCTCTCCATGAACCTATGGGTTTAAGCTCTTTGAACCTATGGATTTAAGCTCTCCATGAATGTAATAATAATAGTAATAGGATATTGATGCCACTTCAGATATACTGTTCCAAGACTATTTCAGGAAACCCATGAAAGAACAAAATATTAGAAGGTACAGATATAAAAAAAATTGTGAAAATAATGAATTATTTTAATGAAAGTTGATGGAAAGCTAGAAGAAAAGGGGGGGGGGACCTGGAACAGATAGAGGAAGTGTGCCAACCAAAAGACTTTTTAGAGATTCAAACAAATTGGCTAGAAATCACTAACAAACATACCCAGTAAGCAGGGAGGGAGTGACCTTAACTGAGGAATTTTATAAAGTAATCTAGAACCAAATCATATACTGAAGCTTGTAAAAGCAAACTAAATATACAGGACAAATTACAAAGAATCAAGGACAAGGCTTAAATCACCAAATTGGAGGAAGGAATTTAGCGCACTCACTGGTATTAAGAAGTAGTTGGCTGTCAAACTAATCATCAGGTTTCCCCTGATATCTCTTCTCTATGATGATAGGCTATGTCTTAGTGAAATCGTTCACCTTGGGGTTCTGTTTCACAGAAACTGGATTTATTGGAGCAAAACTAGGTTCAGCATCCCTGAATTGATTAAGATAAGCATACTGTATTTTTAAATTTGAACCAAAACCATTGTTGGCCAGTGTAGTTGGGCTATTAACTCCCAACATAAGGTTGAATTCAAGACACTCAAATATGCAAAGATATGCTGCAAGTATTGGATAGGTAGATATTTTTGGCATCCTCATTAAAAAGTATGAAATTGGAAATGCTACTGGAGAAAATAGATAATACGCTTGGAGAGCAGCAACCCACTATCAGATGATTCAGCTTCTGAACTGTGAAATCCTGTACAGTTTCATATGTCAAATTTATTAACCTATAATAATCCCAGAAATTTTTCAAGAAATAAATGGAGCCAATTGCATTTGCAGTGTAATTTGATATAATTTTTTTTAATAGTTTTGAAAGACTAATGTGGAGACTGCAGTAGTACTACAATAGACGAGAGATTTTTAGTTTGAAAGGAAAAATGCAATCAATGATAAGAGAGAAATGACGTCATAAGTATATGACTTAAGTGGGATCCTACTAAGATCAATATTACCCTGATTAAATTTCTAATTTATATAAATGACTTGATAAAGGAATAAACGGTGGTGGAGGATTCAGAGTTTCTGTGCAGAACAACCAATAAAAATGCCTTGTCAACTCTCTTCAAGAAGACAGGTGATGGAAATTAAAGCCGCATCAAAATTTTTATTTTGAAAAATTGTATTTACGTGAATGCAGTAGGCTATTCAACATTTAAAGTCCTTGGATTTGCGTAGTTTCACGTGAGAGCTAGCTGAACACAGGGAACAGCAAAGATTTACATGAAATTCAGGTATTTTTTTACTGTTTTTGCAGCACTTGCCAGGTGGGGAACTTTTAGAATCTCCTGAAAGTGAGTTCTACATTCCATGGGATTTTTATGCACATAGTTTCTACTCTGGCTGAATCAAACACATGGGATCCCTGATACAAAGAGTATTTATTGTATTATGCTTAATATATTCTGTTGCCACTTTCTAAAAAGTTTAAGTCTAGGCAGGGTTTGTATGAATGCCATTAATTAAGTACCTTGCAGGGGAAATTGGGAGAAAGCAGTAGCTGACCACACGAATACAAATTGTGATAAAATTTTGAAATTGATGGGGTAACTGTAGACAAAATATTCATCAGAAAATCACATAAATGATAGAAACTTGTAGGCTTAAGAGTTTCTCATATGGATGGAGAAATTCTTAAAAAGCTGTACACAATGTAGGATACTTTAAACCAGGCTTGGAATACGTAGCAGTCATGAAGTGTCTGCTCCCAAAGAGAATGTGGATATGTTAGAAGTCTAGAGATGTACCATACTATAAAATGACTTTAAGAACTTAAAATGAGTTAGAAGGATTGACAACTGAAGGTGCTTTTGTTTGTTGATGAAGAGGACAATAGCCTATAAGCATACAAGATCATAAAAAGATTGCAAGAAAGTAATGATTTCTTAGCACAGTCAACAGGAAGAACAGGAGACCACAATTGTGAACAGAGGTAAAAGTAATGCTTAGATAATACAAGAAAGATTTTCCTCAAAAATGGATTGGTAGAGTACTGGAATGGGGAGATAGTAACTGCTATAACTGGAAAAAAAAAAAGCATAAATTAAGCACCGAAGACTCTACTCAAACCTAATTCTGACCCTATGCTGGACTGGAATTAGAAATAGGTATTGTTATTGTGCATATTATGTAAACATTTTCTATTTGATGTTTTAGGTTTCTGGGCCTACTGTGAATTTTCACCTGTCAAAAAATTACATTTAATTTGTTGATAGAATTTAATGAATTTTAATAATAGTATTATTTTTCTGTTAAACTTTTCATTTTCACCTTAAGTATGGTATTGTAGATTTGAGATACAGTAATTTTGTATGTAGAAAATATTCGTGAAATTTTTGGAATGGCTTTTATTTTTTAAAATTTTAACTCTTCCCTTTGTATAGTACTATCTTGTATTTTTAACTTTATTTTAATTGATATTTTTGAGGTTTGCCAAAGGGCTGCAGTAGGAACTAGTGTTCCACTTCTGCCCTTATTTGACAGGTTTTCTATGAATGTCGGAAGGAACAGTGTCGTGTCGCCTGCCATTTGCCAGCTGTCTGGGTCCGTCTGCAGAAGACTCAGACGACATTGGGTACACCAATATGGCCCGTCAACCGGTTATCCTCAACGTGTATGATATGGTGAGTGCTATGGACATTACTTCAAAAGACAGTTTCATAATCTAGTGTAATATTTGAAGGATTATAAGAAAAACAGTGGAAATTTTGCTGTGAGAGTAGGATTTGTCTCTTGGATTAGTATATGGAGGATCAAGCCTTCAACACACATTTTTTGTGCTGAAGGCCCATATGGGTCATTCAACACCTTTTTGATGTGTATTGGCTTGAAGCCATTTATCATTTGTTTTTATATAGGTTAACCCGTAAACGGTCCAAGCAGATCTACGTTCACATGTGTAGTGCTACAAAAGTAGATCTACGTTTTTTTACATATTTTCAAATATAACAAAAAAAATAGATCAAAGTTTTTTTTACACATTTTCAAATGTAAAAAAAACAAAAAGATCTACTTTTTTTACATTCAAATGTTGAAAAAACATATACGTTTGGACCGTTTATGGGTTAATGTTAGCCCTGTCACTGTCAGAATCCCCGAAATTGAAAGTGCTAACAATTGTCTTTTTTTTTTTCTTTTTTAAATTCTTTTGAAATGGTAGAGCCTCTTTTTCTGGAAGCAATGATACTAACAAAATAAAAAATCTGGTGGAAAACTTGTGGAATTACACAGGCATAAAGTTAGCAGCCTGGGCCCAATTCACACATCAGTGATTTTGCCCACTTTGTGTCCTATTTGAATTCAAATCTAATACTCAGTTTGACCAAATTCTTAGCTATTTTGATAGTATGCCTTCTGTTCCATTGAGTGAGCACAAGAAACTGCCCATTCAGCTGTTACCCAGTAAAGTGCTCAGATGTTGGTAATTTGGCCAGTTTTACATAATTCATCAAATTCCAATTTAAAAACAAAATCCAAAATAAGCATTGCAGGCATTCTAGATACTAAGGCAACATTTCCTCTGTTCATTAATCACATCCCAAGGCTTCTACATTACACTTACCCATCCATTTAAATCCATCATGATACAAAATGATGTTGGATTGTGTACAGCTAGCACTAACAGCCGGTTGATTGGGCCCCCGAGTCCTGTTTCAAGGTACCTCCTGTGCTGAAACTGACCAATATCAACTCTGTTTTCAGTAGTAGTATGCCAATAAAACAATAAAAACCATCCTAGAAATACCTCAAAGTTGTTATTTTTTTTTAACTGAACTCAAGGTTAGAAATTTGCTTTTCCCGTCGTGCACTGTGTGAAGCAGAATTTTTTAATACTATGGACAGTCCAAAATTTAATGCTCACTGCATATTTGAGGGTGTTGTGCTTAAAACATAGATATATTTGAGTGACACTGGCATCAGTTACATAGATCTCTGTAAGAAACAGTGAAAGAGTTGAGTATTGGATTCTGTACTCTTTAAACTTCAGGGATTATTGCCCCTGCAGCCCCAAGCCTCCTGCAGCTCCAGGGCTCCTAAATGGAATGGAAATATTACTGGAGTAAGAACGAGCATAAAACACAGGAGAGTGAAATACAGTAGTTTATTGAATGTAATCTAAAGTTTATAAGATTTATCTGCCATCTTACATGTTCATTACACAAACAGATGAACAGTGATCCTACTAGAATGCAAAACATTCTACATTCTACAATTCTTTTTTTTTTTTTTTTTTTTTCTTTTTTTTTTTTAAAGTAAAGTTGCTGTCTACTAATCTATTACTTGAAGAATATTTTTAGATAACATTAGAATATCCTGGGTTTGAAAAGTCCTAAATATATTAAAGATAGATCTATATAATAAATACCTTGCTGCAATAATGATTATAGTAATTTAATTATAATACATTCCATGCTGTTGATACCTGATGTTTCTTATAATTTCAGTACTGGATAAATGAATACACATCTTCAATTGGTCTTGGTGTGTTTCATTCAGGGGTTGAAATATATGGCACAGGTAATGTACCAGAAGCTTTCCATAGAGATTGTTTACTTTTTGTTTATATTGTCTTGAAGTTGTAAATTTTTTCCTAAAATACAGTATAAAGCAAAAAATATATTGTAAGAAACTATAGTCTGTCAGATATATACATATATTTCAGAAGATTCATGTATCTTGTGACAGAAGTATAAGGTATTGTAAAAAGATTGGAACCATGATGGTGCCATGATTTTTAAAAATAGTGGCCACACAAATATGACTGGACAACACCCCATTAGTCTTAATAATTAATGTAATACTGTAATGGAAATAATAATGGGTCATTCCATGTCAAGTGGACCAATTTTAAAAATCGTCCCCGCCTGCCATCTCCGATTTCGATAAAATCTTACATGAAGGTTGGTCATGTTTATCAAGTTAACTTTGGGAAAATTTTAGTTCATGATATGCAATAGTAGTACAGTAATGCTATGGCCCTTAGACTGGAGGCCTGTGAAAATTTCACCAACCCGTGGCACACCATTGGCAGTGTTCAGGTTATTGCTGTGGCAGATCTTGAAGAGTAAAAGTTGTGTAAGTAGACATGCCTATACAATTTTTCGAGCTAATTTAAAAAATAGCAGTCCTTACTTTTTTCACAGTATGAAGCCAAAGTAGGGAAAAATCTGTCGCATAAAATTGAATCTTGAATTCAGCTGTCTATATCTCTAAAGGAAAACATGATTTTAGGATGACAGTACTGTAGCCAGTTACCCAAGTGGACATAATCACAATCCTAAAATATCACTCCAAACATTTTTAGTTCCTGTGCTAATGGTACCTAGAAATGCCCTCACAGACCTTACAGTGAATTTTAGGCCATTTTTCAAGACCAATAGTAAAAAAAGCAGAACAGTAAATTTTCTTAAAAAACTTCATTAGAGAGAGCAGATTCTAAACTACAAGATATCTATTTTCAGGATAGGCATTTTTGCCTTTGAAGGGAGAAAGCAGGCTTTAACTTAAGGTGATTTTTGGTTTGCACAATATTGTAATGAAAACCAGACATTGTCCAGTTGCTCCTGTTATAGAGCAACAGCAGCTAGAACCTCGTGTTAAAGTATCCACGGGGAGGGAGGGAAGAGGAGCGATTGGCGGAATGATGAAATAGAGTGGTAGAAAAAATTAGGATTTGAGGTTTTACAGAACGAAAGTGTTATAGGAAGGGGGGAGTTTATAGCGAATAAAGAGAGGGAAGGGAATGTAAAAAGGAGAACAAATGAAAGAATGGGTGAGGTGTTGTCAACAAATTTTGCTGAGAATAAGAAAAAGTTTTGGAGCAAGATTAATATGTTGAGAAAACCTAGGGAACAAATGGATTTGACAGCTAAAAACAGAAGAGGGAAATTGGAGGTATTAGCTAGGTGAAGGGAATATTTTGAGGAACTGTTAAATGTTGATGGAGAGAGGGAAGTTGTGATTTCATGCATTGACCAGAGAGGTATAACATCTTGTAGGAGTGACAAAGAGCCAGATGTAGGTGTGGGGGAAGGTGCTTGAGAGTGTGGGTAAGATGAAAGGGGATTAAAGCAGCTGGGATTGATGGCATAAAGACACAAATGTTAAAAGCAGGTAGGGACATACTTTTGGAGTGGTTGGTGCTTTTATTCCATAAATGTAAGAAAGAGGGAAAGGTATCTAGGGATTGGCAGAGAACATGCATAGTTCCTTTATATGAAGGCAAAGGAGACAAAAGAGAGTGTAAGAATTATAGAGGAGTAAGACCATTGGCTATACCTGGTAAGGTGTATGGTAATTATTATTGACAGAATTGAGGGTAAGATGGAAAAAAGGATCACAGATGAACAAGGAAGCTTTAGGAAGGGTAGGGGATGTGTAGACCAAGTATTTAAAGTGAAGAATATAAGTGAACAGTATTTAGGAACGAGTAAAGAGGTTTTCCTTGCATTTATGAATTTGGAAAAAGCATACGATAGGGTGGATGGGGTAGCAATGTGACAGATGTTGCAAGTGTGTGGAATAAGTGGTAGGTTATCAAACACTGTTAAAAAGTTTTAATGAGGATAATGTGGCTCAGGTTAGGGCAGGGGTGGGCAAACTTCTAAAGCCATCAACTGGGAAGTGTGTTTGTCTAATAATGCTTGTGTAATGGCTTGTGTTTTCAACAGAGGAAAATGAACAAAGTTTTGCTCATTCAGCTGCATGTATATGAGTATATGACTTGATCTTGGCGAGCTGCATGAAAACCTTTGGCGTCCTGCAGTTTGCCCACCCCTAGGTTAGGGTATGTATGAAAGAGGGAGATTATTTTCAAGTAAAGCTGAACCTTAGATAGGGGTGCGTGAGATGTCACCATGGTTGTTTAATATATTTATAGATGGAGTTGTCAGAAAAGTGAATGATAAGAGTGTTGGGGAGAGGTATGAAATTGAAAGATAATCTGATACAAAATGGGAGTTGTTGCAGTTGCTTTTTTGCCAGTAACATGTTGCTTTTGGGAGATTCTGAAGAGAAGTTGCAAAGGTTGGTGGTTGAATTTGGGAGGGTATGTAAAAGAAAAGTGAACATAGGAAAGAGCAAGGTGATGAGGGGAAACAAAAAATTTAGCAATGAAAGATTGGACATCAGATTAGAGGGAGAGGGTGTGGAGGAAGTGAATGTGTTCAGGTATTTGGCAGTGGACTTGTTGGCAGATGGGTCTGAAAGATGAAGTGGACCATAGAATTGACGTGGGAAAAAAGGCGAGTGGTGCATTAAGGCATCTGTGGAGACGAAGAACATTATCCATGGAAGCAAAAAGGGAAACATGTGAGAGAATAGTGGTACCTCTGCTCTTATGGAGGGTGCTGGATATGTGGGGCCCTCCTGTACATGAAAGATTGATTGGGAGACAAAAATTACCCAACATAATTCTGTGTAATTCCATAAAGGATTATAATATTGCAGACTTTGTATATAGACGTATGTAAAATAGGATGGATTTTAGAAGGTAGATAAAGTATTGCTGTTAAGAAAGAAAAAGCATAGAGAGGTGGTTTCGTTAAAGTACATGTATATTTTTATTGGCTTGTGATGCGAGTATCTACAGAATTGGTGGTTAGTGCTGAGCGGGTAATTCTCTCTTCCCTGTGATTTTGATATGTATTACAAAATTTTCAATAGCTTGTTTGAAATGCTGTATTTTTTTTTTTTTTTTGTTATACATCATTATAGGTTTTACTTGGAGGCTGTTTGTGTGTTGGCTATTGCATTGTATCTTGTTAGGCTTATTTGTGATACACTTCAACTCGGTATATTGTAGTTAGGCCTCATTTAGATTGTGCTGTACAGTTCTAGCCACCATATTACAGAATAGACATAAATGTGCTGGAAAACATGCAGAGAAAGATGACAAAGTTGATCCCATGTATCAGAAAGATTTCCTATGAGGATAGACTGAGGGCACTGAATCTGCACTCTCTGGGAAAGCATAGAATTAGGGGGATATGATTGAGGTGTATCGATGGAAAACGGGATAAATAAAGGGGAGGTAAATACAGGTGCCTCTTGACTTACAATGGTTCAACTTCAATATTTTGAGTTTATGATGGTGCAAAAAAAATTGCTTTTGAGAGGGGACTTAAGGTAATTACCCAGCATGAAGGCAGCAAGTCCAATAACTGTTATTTATTTACTTTCCAATACTGTTTAGTTACAGTAATTATTTGTTTATTTACTTATTCAGTGACAGTAGTTATTTATTTACTTAATATTCATATTCAACTTGCCATATTTTCTACTTATGATGGGTTTGTCAGAACATAACCTCATCATAAGTCATGGAGCACCTGTAACGTGCTAAAAATATCTTAACCAAAACTGGATTCACAGCAGTGGGTTTGAATTAGAAAAATTTAGATTTAGAAAGGACATAGGAACTGGTTTGTTTGGTAATAGTTGTGGAATAAACTCTCAGGCAGCATCATTGAAGTGAAAACCTTGTGTAACTTTAAAAATAGTTTAGACAGGTACATGAGTGGGTGTGGGTGGATGAGAGTTGGATCTGCCTAGCTTGGGCAAGTAGTCCTGCTGCAGTGCTCCTTCCTTCTTATGTGTAAGAAAAAACTTTTAGTTTTGTTCTTTTATGATTAAAAAAATACACAATTCAATAGTGCATCATGTTTTTCATAAATGTGATAAAAAATTTGTCTTCGCCAGAATTTGCTTATGGTGGGCATCCATTCCCATTCTCTGGTGTGTTTGAGATCACACCCAGAGATGCTGAAGATCTTGGGGATCAATTTAAATTCAAGTAAGTATTTTTTTTTCCATAGTGCATCAAACTGGTGTTTTTTTTTTTTTTAGATAGTAACAGCTTAATGCTGAGGGTTGGTTCAAAGATTTCAAGGTTATAGAGGCAATTTTTGATGAGGTTTCAGAACTTTTAAGGTAAAACCAAAGTTTTAAGGAATGAAAATGTAGGGAAAGACAGGTGAGGAAACACTTTGAAGTAAACGCAGTCCTAGGACCCTCTTTCTTCTTTCTTTCAACGCACTGGCCATATTCCACTGAGGCAGGGTGGCCCCAAAAAAGTAAAAAGTTTCTGTTTTTTAACTTTAGTAATATATACAGGAGAAGGGGTTACTGCTCCCAGCATTTTAGTCGCCTCTCACAACACGCATGGTCTTATGGAGGAAGAGTTCTGGTCCACTTCCCCATGGAGATAAGAGGAAATAAACAAGGACAAGAACTAGTAAGAAAAATAGAAGAAAACCCAGAGAGGTGTGTATATATATGCTTGTACATGCATGTTGGAGTGTGAGCAGGGTAATATTTAGTGAAGGGATTCAGGGAAACCGGTTATTTTTGTATAGCTGGACTTGAGTCCTGGAAATGGGAAGTACAGTGCCTGCACTCTAAAGGAGGGGTTCGGGATATTAGCAGTTTGGAGGGATATATTGTGTATCTTTATACGTATATGCTTCTAAACTGTTGTGTTCTGAGCACCTCTGCAAAAACAGTGATTATATGTGAGTGAGGTGAAAGTGTTGAATGATGATGAAAGTATTTTCTTTTTAGGGATTTTCTTTCTTTTTGGGTCACCCTGCCTCGGTGAGAGACGGGCGACTTCTTAAAAAAAAAAAAAAAAAAAAAAAAAAGTGTAGTGTGACCTAAGTGTAAGTAGAAATAGCAAGACATACCTGAAAAAAGACACCAGCAATCCTATCATCATGTAAAACAATTACAGGTGTCCGTTTTACACTCATTGGCAGGATGGTAGTACCTCCCTGGGCGGTTGCTGTCTACCAACCTACTACCTAGGTCCTAGGACCTTGGCCACTTAAATATGAATAGGGCAAGAGAGTTTTTTTTTTTTTTTTAACACGCCGGCTGATTCCCACCAAGGTAGGGTGGCCTGAAAAAGAAAAACTTTCATCATCATTCACTCCATCACTGTCTTGCCAGAAGGGTGCTTTACCCTACATTTATAAAACTGCAACATTAACACCCCTCCTTCAGAGTGCAGACACTGTACTTCCCATCTCCAGGACTCAAGTCTGGCCTGCCAGTTTCCCTGAATCCCTTCATAAATGTTACTTTGCTCACACTCCAACAGTACGTCAAGTATTAAAAACCATTTGTCTCCATTCAGGTTATGCTAAACTGTAGTAAGGTAGTGAGGGTGAGGTAATGCTGAACTGTAGATCACTTGATTGCTGTTTCTTGAGGCAAGTGAAGTAAGGTGTATTTTAACATTGCAAATTCCTGCAATTTTGTATAACTTGTTACTGCTATAAGAGATTGTTATATTCTGATAACAAAAATGGAATTACTTCCTTGAGCACTATGGGCAAAATGTGAAAAAAACTAATTTCAGCTGCACACTAGATTATTGGCACATGACTGTTATCTAGCTTACACCACTATTTATGTAAACCTAACCTGGCCTCATAACAGAGCACTTGACACACCTTAAGCCAAAAACTTAACTACTGTGGCACTCATCGGCAGATAATGGAATCACAGTTTTGTAAGTTCATATGGGTGAAAATATAAGCAAATGATTTCTTCTTTCAGATACCAAATACTGCATTGCAAATTTTTATAAAGGATTTTTTTTTTTTTTTGTAAAAAACTAAATAATTTTGGTGAGTCATGCATCATTCAAATTACAGCACATATAAATGCATCATGTTGCACATCTTTATCTAGATTTTTTTTTTTCGAACATGCTGGCTGTCTCCCACTGAGGCAGGGTGACCCAAAGAGAGAAGAATGTCAGTTTTATATTTTTATATAAAATTTATTGGTATACAAATTTTCAGTACAAAAATCCAGGTATGCCAAACTGAAGAGACCCTGTAACCTGTAATACTGTATGTAAATTAAGCTAAATTTATCAATCTTACTGAGTTTAGACTCTGTAATTAATTATCATCATAATCAGTTGCACTAAATTTGCTGAAGTGATTTTAGGCATGGAGGGTTGGGGGTAAACAACACACTCACCTGGCATGACCCAAGACCTATGTTAAGTTCAGTATCTTAGACTTGAATGTTGGATGCTGCTTTTTTACCTCTTGTTATTTTTAAAATACTGTAACATTAAAAATAAATAAATTTTATTTATCCTGTCCAATATTGCAGACAGAGCATCCACCTAGGTTACACAGACTTCACTGAAGAAGATACGAAGCGAATTGTTGCAGAATTAGGCAAGGATTTCCGAGGAGACAGATATCACTTGATGAATAAAAATTGTAATCACTTCTCATCTGCCCTCACACAGGTGAATATTAATATCTTTTATGTTTTTATTGGTGAGTTTACAATACTTAAAACTGGAGTAAATGTTTTTTGACCATGCCACTTTTTTATATTTATATATTGCAAAGTCAAACTTTGTGAGGAATACTCACCTGAAGCATTTAAAATCTTTATCATTTCATTTTTCTTAGGAGACCTTTAATATATGCCAGTCTCTTTTCTTTGACATGGTTTTGGTTGAAACTGAGAAATAGCAATTGGGTCAGGATGATTTGTGAAGCTATAAATTCAGATGAATGCCACAAATAATTTTTTTTTTAACACGTTGCCATTTCCCACCAAGGCATGGTGGGAGACGGCCGACTTGTTGAGAAAAAAAAAATAGCGTTTGTTTGAGGAAAACAAATTTTTTATATACATCACTTCTTTAAGCAGACAGAGTTAGACAAATGATTTAGTATATATCATAGATATGAACTAACTAACTTTTAGTGGGTTTAATATAACATCTAGCACTTCATGTAAAACAAATATATTCATTTAAATTAAAACACTTGCCTTCTTTTTCAACTCCTAATAAAGCTCACAAATCATTACTATAATAATCATAAAAAAAATGACATGCATAACTATACAGTTGATACTTAACCTAATTCAGGTGCATACTAGCATTTCTGTATAAAGTTTAAAAGCAAGCAAGTTTTGTCACACAGGTTAGACCAATTCAGTAATGTAAAATACCACTTTATTGTGGCACTTCGTTGCTAAGCCAGGAAAAACGTGATGCATTGTAATTATTAATTCCAGGACATAGTACAGCCTCTCCTCACTTAGTGACGTACTCGTTTACCGATGCCTCTGACTTAAGATGGGCTCTCTGACCAGTTTTCATACCAAAATAATGTATATTGAGCTGATTTTCCCTGTTCTTTTTATTTCAACATATGAAACTCCATTGTTAAGTGAGGAGAGGCTGTGTTAATAGTTGTAGGAGAATTCCATTGGCCAAGTGAAAGCAAAAACAAAACTGTTTCATACTAAAGCTAAAACCTTACGAGGGAAGGGAGGTTGCCTTGATTCTGATGGTTTCTTGTTCCTAGGAATTGGAGCTGCTGTCCTCTTCCTAGGATCAAACTGTTTCCTCTCATTTTCCCAGGTATGATGCTAATAAGTGTAGAACTTCCCAATAATAATAATACAGTGGACCCCCGCATAGAGATATTAATCCGTGCAAGAGAGCTCATTGTTATGCGAAATTATCGTTATGCGAATGAATTTTACGCATAAGAAATAATGGAAATCAAATTAATCCGTGCAAGACACCCAAAAGTATGAAAAAAAAAATTTTACCACATGAAATATACATTTTCCTACACAAAAAGAGAAGGATACATGCACAATAGTAGAGTAGTACATGCACAATATATATTGTGCATGTACTACTCTACTAAATGAAGAATAAATGACACTTACCTTTATTGAAGATGCAGCAATGACTGATGAGACACTGTGTCCTGGGAGTGCCTTTTCCTCCTGAGTACTGTAGGTCCTGTTTGGCATTTTCTTCCAGAACAGGCCTTATCACACTGTGTATGCCACTATGATTCTTAAATCTCTCAAACCAACCTTTGCTGGCTTTAAATTCACCAATATGAGCACTAGTTCCAGGCATTTTTCCCTGTTCACCTGGGTGTTAGTCGACTGGTGTGGGTTGCATCCTGGGAGACAAGATTAAGGACCCCAATGGAAATAAGTTAGACAGTCTTCGATGACACTGACTTTTTTGGGTTATCCTGGGTGGCAAATCCTCTGGGGTTAATTGTTTCTTGGTATTCTCAATAAGCCACACCAACAACAGTGCTACAGCAGCAGCAGCAGCTGACGGTGGTACAGCAGCAGCAGCAGCTGACAGTGCTACAGCAGCAGGAGACGATGCTACAGCAGCAGCAGACGATGCTACAGCAGCAGCAGACGGTACTACAGCAGCAGCAGCAGCAGCTGACGGTGGTACAGCAGCAGCAGCAGCTGACAGTGCTACAGCAGCAGCAGACGATGCTACAGCAGCAGCAGACGATGCTACAGCAGCAGCAGAAGATGCTACAGCAGCAGCAGACGATGCTACAGCAGCAGCAGACGGTACTACAGCAGCAGCAGCAGCAGCAGCTGACGGTGGTACAGCAGCAGCAGCAGCAGCTGACGGTGGTACAGCAGCAGCAGCAGCTGACAGTGCTACAGCAGCAGGAGACGATGCTACAGCAGCAGCAGACGATGCTACAGCAGCAGCAGACAGTACTACAGCAGCAGCAGCAGCAGCTGATGGTGGTACAGCAGCAGCAGCAGCTGACAGTGCTACAGCAGCAGCAGACGATGCTACAGCAGCAGCAGACGATGCTACAGCAGCAGCGGGAAGATGCTACAGCAGCAGCAGACGATGCTACAGCAGCAGCAGACGGTACTACAGCAGCAGCAGCAGCAGCAGCAGCACCCTGACGGTGGTACAGCAGCAGCACAGCTGACAGTGCTACAGCAGCAGCAGACGATGCTACAGCAGCAGCAGACGAGGCTACAGCAGCAGCAGAAGGTACTACAGCAGCGCAGCAGCTGACGGGGTACAGCAGCAGCAGCAGCGCTGACAGGGGCTACAGCAGCAGCAGACGATGCTACAGCAGCAGAAAGACGATGCTACAGCAGCAGCAGAAGGTACTCAGCAGCAGCGGGCAGCTGAGGGTGGTACAGCAGCAGCAGCAGCTGACAGTGCTACAGCAGCAGCAGACGATGCTACAGCAGCAGCAGACGATGTACAGCAGCAGCAGACGGTATACAGCAGCAGCAGAGGGTTTCTACAAAAAGCAGCAGCAGCAGCTGACGGTGGTACAACAGCAGCAGCAGCTGACAGTGCTACAGCAGCAGCAGACGATGCTACGCAGCAGACGATGCTACAGCAGCAGCAGACAGTGCTAGCGCAGCAGCAGCTGACGGTGCTACAGCAGCGCAGCAGCAGCTGACGGTGCTACAGCAGCAGCAGCAGCTGTACCACCAATAGTAGCGATGGTTGATTGGGGTTTATTATACAACCTGGCCAGCTCGGAGACACGCACTCACTTTCATACTTATCAATGATCTTTTCCTTCATCTCTATAGTAATTCTCACCCTTATTGCTGTAGGGTTGGCACTAGAAGCTTTCTTGGGGCCCATGGTCACTTATTTTGCAGGGTAAAATCACCAAAAACACTAATAATACGAAATGTTCCGATTGTATGCTTGGATGTTACCGCGGAGGCTGGCTGGTAAACAATGCCACCGGCGGAACATGTGAGGCTGGCTAAGGGTGCACATTAGACGCATCTCGGACGAACGGCGTTGAGCGGGTTTTTTAGCGGTATGCGAGGCAAAATCTTGGCGATAAAATGTAGCGGTATGCGGATTTAACGTTATGCAAGGCCAACGGTATGCGGGGGTCCACTGTAATAATAATAATAATAATAATAATAATAATAATAATAATAATAATAATTTAAAACTAAAAGTCTACATCAGTAAACTTCATCAGTTTGTATAATGAAATCACTAGAGATAGCCAGAAATTTGCTATGGCTTCAGGCTCACTTTGCCCTTAAGTAAATGAGGGATAAAATATGTAACTGACCTGTAGTGCTCGTCATTAAGGTACAGTGGGTGGAGGCACTTGATGTAATTTAATGTCCTAAGTAATACCTTACTATGGCATATTTGTCAACGAGACAAAAGGTTACACTGGTCAGCCAACTTGAAGTGGAATGTCTTAGGATTCCCCATGATTACTGGCTGCACCCTAAGCACCTTCTGGGCTTGCAAGCTGGATAGTCTTTTGTGTGTGGTCCCCTTGTATTATGTGGTCTTAAGGGCTGAGCTTATTGGGAATTGTTGGCTGTTGCCAAATTAATGTGAGACAGTTGTATAGTGCATTGGATTACACAAGGCCAGTCACCAAATGAAGGAAACAGTGGAAGCCACTGATGTGTGCAAGTGTCCAGTAAGGCCGTAGTTACTTCAGTTCCTTGAACAGTATTCATGACATGCCCACATCAACAGCATGTCCAAGGAAGTCTAGAAAAACATTTCTACTAACTTTAACTGTACTAGTATGCCTAAAAATGGTCTGTTACCATATGTCCGAATCTTTCATGATGTGGCAGTGCTGCTTACCACAGCGCGAAATCTCGTTTAGTGGCTTTGTGATTGAAGTACCCTTCTTCGGTGACTGGCCAGGAAACTCCCAAGATGTGAACCCCATTTAAAACCACTGGGCTGAAATCAACATAGGAAAGGATATCAAGTCACTCTCAAGGTTTTAGAATTTCATCCACAAGTTGTGGAGAAATTTACCCCATGAAACCCTGAAGAATGTGTTAATCACTTTCTAGATGGTTTAAGGACATCATAAACTGCAAGGGGTAACTATTTTGTGGTTGTGATTTTAGAGGGGGAAACCAATGTACTTTAATGACAAACACTATAAGGCTTTCTTTTCTCCCTATAAATGTAGTCAACCCTGCATGCATTCTACTGGTAAATGTCTTCAGGACCCTGAATCATAATATTAATCCAGACTTAAAACCCTTTCTGAGACAGTTTCAACAGAGCCCATGAGCATCACACAAATTAAAGCTTTTCTAATGTTCCATGGATGACTGAATTGATGTAGAACATCTTAGGAATAGAAAGGTATGCACATTGCAAGATGTTAGACTAATGAAGCTAGTTTGTACACAGTACAGAATCTGACCAGAGAGAAATTACAGCCAGCCTCTCTTGTTTCTGTCTCTCTTGCTGTTTTAAGAAGGGAACTTGACAGTTAATTGTTTTTGCCTTTCTCCCTGGCTAGTGGAACACAGGAAATGATTCTTCTTTAAAAACTGTCAAATCTTCATATAGTCAGTTACAATAAAATGACCATTGTTATAATGCACGACAGTGACTCCATTATTTTTTAAATGTGGCAGGTCGCTAGTGGGTGACTTTTATAGGATAAATTGCAGTAA